AAATAGTGTTGCCTTTAAAATTCTTTAGTTTGCAAAATGAGAGATGCACATTTTTGTTTGATAAAATAGTATGTCAAAATGTTATAGTTGGAAGACTATTTGAAAAGAAAAACATTTCTATGTGATAAAGAATATGTTTAATTATGTTTGGAGAAAAAAAAAACTTTTGTAGTTTTGTACTCCATGTGAAATTTGATTGTGTCTGATTTTTGTACGCTAAAAACTTTTGTTGTTTACTGTTTTATTTAAGAAAATATTTGGACTGGTTTAGAGTCGCCACTTAATTTTTAAGGAAAATTAAGAAAACTATTTATTTTCAACAGATTAAAACAGGAATCTAGTGAAAATCTTAAAAGGGGTTCGGGGTTCCTATTAATATTCTAGGAAGGTTTTTTAAGGCACCTAGAATATCCACTAATGTGGTTATCCGACAATTAATTATTTGGCTAAAATAATTTAACTTGATTTGAATGGAACAATTGAACTATTTTATAGTTTGGAACTATTTTAAAGGGAAAAAGGGGAGATATTTAAATACTATCTAAGTGAGTTATCTTGCCAATTATTCTTTTAAGTCTTTTGAAAGATGATCGATTTAGTTAAATTGTTAAAACGGAATGAGCGTCTTTCGGGGATTTGAACTTTTCGACCCTAAGATTAATGACAAATATTAACAAGTAAATAATAAAACAAAGAGGGGAAGAGATTTTGGCCCAAGTATGGTTTTTTCTGTCCGCCTGGACCAGTACTTGGGCCCATTTTCATTTTGGGTCTTCGGCCCATTCGAGTCACCTGCACCTGTCCTATACTAACGTAAAACATATATTTTTCTTTAGGCCTTAGGCCCAAATTTTCACCTGTCCTAGGCTTCTAACAAAAATATAGAATAGCGACTAAATAGGCTTAGGCCCAATAGATAACAAAATACAAATTTGGAATTAAAAGTGGGCCTTTGGCCCAATCTTTTCAATTCTCTAGTCTGCTCCAATATTTTTTCGACTCCGGGACCTGTACGCCCATTTTTGTAGCTGGTCGACTCGGTAGAAGAAAACATTGGGCTTGAATGGCCCATTTGTAATGCAAAGGGTAGAAGCCCAAGTCCCAAAGGACTCATCAATAGATCACATGCATCACAAGAAAAAAAAAATGATTAACATACAATCTAATCTCGGTAAATTGTGAAAGGAGTAGACCAACTTATATATATATAATGAAACAATGACCCAAGAAAACCAACACATAATCCCATAAAGGAGATTATGGAGAAATACATTGACAGTTAATCCATTTTAAAGGGAATGATTAAGAAAATCACGACCGTTTCCCACAAACATCTCAATATTACCATTTAACAACATACCCACAAATAGAGAAAAAAAAAGAATAGCAAATCATCATCAATTAGTTTGACAACCAAAGGTATAAATGACAACATGCTTCTAAGATAATTGCATTTAGCTAAGGAAATAAGATAAGGACACAGAATAACCAATTTATGTTGGCATGCTCACTGGACTTGTAACTTAGCAAGAAAAAAAAATAAAAAAAATAAAAAATAAAAAATAAATAAAAAAAACAACTTTTATACTATTATAAGCTTGGAACAAAATAAGAACAAATATAGAATAATCATGGCAACATTAATGCAAATGGCTCTTGTATCAACAAGCTAAGGAAAATCTAACTTAAATGCTCCACTTAAAGAAAATAACGAATTATCCAGTTAATCGCTGTTGATTTTAATCTTTAAGGCGTTGACCAAACTAAGCAAAGAAAAGAAGAGTATTGAAGGAGCCATGTATCAATTTTTACAAGCACGAAAGAATATTAAAACAATATAAGCAAGCAAATCCGAGAGGATGGCTACACATTCACAATAGTGCATATTTGCAATTTATCAAAAAATAAACTGGAAGTTGATATCGAAACATACAAAGGAGGCAGATTCATTGCGAATGAAACAACATGAAAGATAACAAAGGGAAGACATTAAGATTGTTAACAGCAAGGTTTAGAGATGCAAAGTACTAACAAGCGGACTAAGGTCCTGTTAAGAGCGGGAGGTACGAATGAGCAAATAAAATGGTAAAACGATCAACTCATGTGACTTACATGGATTTAAGCAACACGAAGAGAAAACAACATGTGTACGTATATATATCAGAAGATCGAAATCATCTATAGAAGATGACTTCAATTTTCGAGATTGAACCATAACTTTCACAGCCTATCAATCGAGATAATAGCGAAATAAGCATATTATAACGATGAGAACATTAACTAGGGAAGAGGGGAAAACACCAAGCTTTCAATGAAAAAACGAAAACAAATAACTATGGACTTTCAGGCAGATTCCATCACTGTTTAGCAGCCAATAAAGGGGTCAAAACGCCCAGATGCTAATATGTAAATAACTTCATGTTGTTAAGAACAAACCATTACGAGCAAGAGGTGCTTGAAGCGAGATGGGCATTACCTTTAAGGGTGCAGCGAACGGGGACAACGAGTTAGCAGTTGCGATCCTTCCACCACGAAAATGAAACCACGAACAGCGATCCGAACGAAAGTCGAAACTCAAACGAACTACTAGTCTTCTCGAAAGCAGGGATCGAAGAACTTCCTGCTTTCTAGCTCCCTTTTTTGCTTAAGTCACTCTCTATTTTTTAGCTAGAAAGATCCAATCTAAAAGATTTCCAACTAAAAAAAAATCCCTCCCCAAAATTATAGAAAAGATGATTATATTGAGGAAAATCGAGTAGGTTTTGTGGGGAATTCGGGTAGAAATTTGGGGTCAATCCCGAATTCAAAATTCGAATTCTTTCACCAATTTGGGGGAGACATGCTTTTTCTAAAATTTTCTCCCCATTCCGAAAGAGGAAAGGGGAGAAACGCATGCCTGCTGGGATTGGAACGGTACTGCCGAAACAGTACTGGGTTGCCTCATGATTCTGGGTTTCATCGCGTTGTGGAGAAAAAGAGCGCGTGGGTGGGGTCGGGTGTTGTCGCTGCTG